AAATACCCTCTAACATAGGGAAGGCGATATCGTGTGGGGAGTCAGAATAGAGCTTACCCGATATTTTGTCCTTGGGTCTAGAAACCAACGAGGTAGCTTGGATTCCCTGTGTTTTATCCATCCTAATAATTTGCTCCGTGGGTAGAGGGAATGCCCGTCAGAGTGGGTCATTTTAATTCCACATGGGGAACATTTCTTAAAAAGCACCTTCTGGGACATAACTGTACTAAGGAGCTCACAATGAAATAAGCAATGAGAGAAGGAGAAGTTGGTAAGTAAGTCCTTGCTCAATGGCAACAGGAAAAGAACTGAGGAAAGGAAGAGAGCCCCTCTGACTCCAGGGGGAGAGGCTCCCCTTCAGCTTTCTATAGAGAGGAACGGAAAAGCTGGGAAAGAATCCTCCAGTGGCTGGCCTGCACCTGCACAGTCCCAATGTGGGACTGCACAGAAAACTGAAGATGAACAGGCACATATGTATGGCACATATGTATGAAAATTCTAGGCTTAGAGAGGGCACTAAAACCTCTATTCTTTGGGGTCCTCTTTGTTAAGATAATACAAGGGAATACAATTCTTGTTAATACCATTATACCTCAAAACTTCATCATCAATCCAAAGGGCTGTTAAATGTGTGCCTACCACTGTGCACAGATACTAAGTGGGCACAGACAACTATTTTATCCATCATTTGTAGCTGATGCATGATAACATTTACCTTATCACTTGGCTGAATGATGCAAACAACAATGAACCCCAAGATAATTTGGTCTACAGATTGACTGAAATTGAGGAGTAAATGCCTTTCACACCAATATTAAAAATCAATCCACAGGGGGGGGAAAGAGAACCTGTTCTGGGTCCAGATGCCCTATTCCCCTTCCTCCTGTCCCCTTTAAAGGATTGGATCATATCGGATTTCCCAGTAGCAGAAGGCAGAGGAAGAACCTATTTTGACTACCAAAAAAGGGTATGACAGGGATTGCTGGGCCCATATGGTCAAAAGCCATGCAAAATGCAGCAGGCAATGCAGCAGGCAATGGGGCATGATCATAGAAAAGCTGGTAGAACCCAACCCAATAGCAACAACCCCCTTCCAATGCTGATTTCCAGGAAGAAGTAGCTAAGAGCATGCTTCCCTCTCTGTTCCTCTGTAGGCCACTGCATGAGGTTTTTTCCTCCATCATCCCTGAAGCAGTATGTTGAAACCCACATTATAGTATTGTTATTGCTGCCAGATCAAGGCAAATATGCCCTACCATTTTTGTAGAGTCAGGCAACAAATTCTGGTGATCAAAGCAAAGTCAATGGAATGAGGAATCAATGGGGGGAAATAACAGCACTTCAGACTAAAGAAATAGTATTTTGTTTAAAAGAGAAGTCATGCACTATGTACTAGTTTCAGTAGCAACTGAGTATTTTATATAGGCAGCCATTTATTTTTAAGAACCATTTTAAGGCACAGCCATTTCATTATATTTTCAGAATATTGCTACTGCAAAAACAAACATTTTGCAAACGGAAGCAGAACTGGAGCTACAAAAAAATTGCTCAACTATATAAGGATCATTATTTGTCTTTCATTTGAGTTATAAAGCAAAGTTGCAGATGTTATACATCTAGCTTTAAAAAATGCTCAATCTATGCTTATAATAATTCTCCTAATAACAAATATGTGAAATAGACCAAGGAAATGAATTTATTTCAATTCAAACCAATTCAAATTTGCAGTTTCTCTTTAGAGTTGCATGATGCCTAATCACAAAGCTTTTCAGCATAGCTGTTATTAACTTCTTTCATTAACTTATATTTGGAGAAATATGCTTGTTTTAAGTAACAATAAAGGGCCACAGCCTTTTAAATGTCTGGGTGTTTTACCACTGCACAATTTGTGAATATGCAATGAAAGAAACATAAGGATTTATCTGGTATGTTTACTACCCTCCCTCCCTGAAAAACACTGATGCAGTACATTTTAATTTTTGTTTACTCCCTTGAAAACCTCTATTTTAATTTCAGCTGGATGCAATAAAAGCTATTGCTAAGCCAGCGCTGATTAACTGCCCCTTTGTTAAGTGCTTTCAAAGCAAAAGCATCTTGCGTGTAGTACGAATGAGGTATATAACTGAAAATTAGTGCAATTTACCAGAGTTCCAGCATCTAAGTATACTTCTCTGTGTTTCTTATTCTGCTACCTGTGTATACTAAGGAACTTGATACTCTCACAGGACTGCATGCATCTGCCTTGTCACCGATTATGGCTTCTGTGTAGTGGTCCTGAATTCCCATAAAAGAGAATATGAAACAATTAAACACAAGGGTGTGGTAGATGCACCTACCATGAAAGGATCTGGTTGTAGCCATACTGGAAGTCCCTTTCCTGACATTTCTGGACAGGATATATCAATTGGTTCTCATGGAAGTAAAAGACCTTTTTCAATTTGCCAAGGTCAGGCCGAAGGGCAACGAGTTCAGTCAGGTTAAGCACGGAGCTTGCAAAGAGGATCCTAAGAAACAAGGAAAGCAGTGTTTACTGTCTACAAGCCTGCTGAAAAGTGTCACCCTTCACCCCATCCCTCCCACCACACCTCCCCACAAGAAAAACACAACCCCTATAGGGACACATCAGTGGCTAAGCCTTAATACCATGTAGCAGCATTCTAAGTTTTGATCTCTTGAAAAACAGCTGCTAAGGACTCGACTAGAAATGCACTGAATCTCATTGGTTTCCTCAGCTCAGTTACAGAGAGATGCAAAATTAAAAAAAAAAAAGCTGGATGGATTTTATTGAAAAACGCAAGAAAAGCTGCGTCTGAAGGACAAATGGAACAAAGATAAGGCTGACTGGGGAATACTCTGCTTGCCAGTTTCATTACACTTTACTTCTTTATGCAACCAACTACTGAAATTCAATATATGAGCTGGTATGACACATGTTCATGTTATGACATAAAACCTTTTGATTTATGCAATAGACATACCTAGTGTAGTCTTTATTTTTCACGCTCAGATTTCTTTCTCCTATTTTTATTAAACATTCCCCACCAGCCTTTGTTGTTCTGTTCATCTATTACCACAATACTGTGAGCAGAGTCAGGAGGACCGGTCATTTTCCTTCTTATTACAGGATACAAGTACTAATGTCACTAGTAAAGTAAATCTCACTACATGAAAACGCAATTAAAGGCAATTAAACTAGTGCTTAATGCAAAACAGACAGCACAATAAGTCACAATTTTAATTTGTAAGAGAAAGCCTTCTTCAGTTCAGGTAAAACACATATAACTCTTCAGTTAAAAGCTTCCTTCAGTCTCTAGCACTGCCACAAAACAAGCCCGTTCCCCACCTTAATGATGCAAGCAAATCATGATTCAAGATTCTTGCTTTCTATATTCGGCACCTGCTATAGAATCTTTTATTTAGGATACAGTTCTAAACAACCTTATTACAAGCAGCACCAGTTATCTGAATGACTTATTCAATGGGAAAATAAGTGAAGTCACGCTAGTTGCCACAGCACACTATACAGAAGACCAGGGGTGGAATTGGACAGCGCCACCTTGCTCATCTCCCACGCCCATGGTCTGTGCCTCAACTGCAACCACCACCCTTGTATTGCCTTGAAAAAGATTTGTCAACTGCTTAAGTGCTTTCCCTCATTTCTAGTCAAGACTCTCCACCTCACGATGCTTTGTTCCAAGGAAAATCCACTGAAAGAATCCCATTCCACATGCCTTAAAACTTTCTCACTTGGTCCCCCTTCTCACTCCCCTCCTCAGCAGACTTCCCCGATCTACAGAGATAGGGCCTGATCCACAGAGGGGTCACTTATGGTGCCATTATCAGCCTTGGAGCACAAAGGACATCGCTGCATTCCTATGTAGCAGAGGTGGCCAAACTGTAGCCTCTTTCACACAGTCTAATTCAATGTTAATAAAAAGCAGATTTGCATATTTTTCAATGAAAATGTGTGTGTGATATTTGTTCATAGCTTGCCACTCTCAAACATCTGACGTTTATTTTGTGCGACTGTTACGTTAAGCAAGTTTGGCCACCCCTGCAAGTATGTAGTTTTCCTTTCTCCATTGCTCTGTCAAGAATGATTTGAATTGTGTCCTTATGGCAGACACAAAAGTATTTCTCTAATACCTTGTGATCATTCATTTGCTAAATTCTGCTTTCCTTATCTTACCTATAAGGAATCCCCAGACAACGACAGTTCCATAGCTATAATTCTTTTTAAACTTTCCCACTGTAGTGATAAACAAAACGCTGCCTTTCTCACAACGATATACAAATGTACCTAGAGCTGCCCTGCAAGTCTTTTGCATATTGCTGTGGAGCCACGGTTTAAAACTGAAACAATGCCTGACAGTATATGTTACTGTAATCATTGCCACAGAGGAACTGTGTGTCTAATGGACTCCTGAACAAAGCACTGGAGGATACAGCGAAGAACACTTCCATTTAACACCTAGCACCCGGGAAAGGAAGGAAAGTTTGTTATTATAATGTAGCCCGTGACATAAATATATGTCAGCTGTCATTTCATGTGACATCAACTTGCATTTTACCTCAGGTTATTATTTCGGTAATAAATCCTAACAAGGTGAGCTTTATCATCCCACAGAGTCTTTCCGGGAGGTAAGGATGCAAGGTGATGGCAAGAACACTGAGAACATGATCATTCCTGACAGCTGCCACTTGAGCACAAGTTAAATTGAACAGTTTATCTCAGCAGAAAGATGTTATAAGGTTTTAGGTTTAATTTTTTTTTTTTTTGGAAATTAACATAAAATCCAGAGAAAGCCTAGTTAGGCAATCTTTCACAAACATGATATACTACAATCACTGCATAAGCTGGATTAGTACTTATTACCATGCTACTAGAGAATTAAGCTGTTTTTAGACCACCAAAGGGCTTCGAATTGCAACTTTCGTCTCTGTAAGGGAAACCTATATTTAAACTGTCTACGAAAGTCAAATTAAAACAGCTACATCATTAGCACGTTATCTCACAAAATAAGAGTACATTTAAACTGCTTTTAACATTACTCTTACCCAACTTGATCAACGTTTCAAAATGTTAATGCGGAATGCATTTTTCTACATACACTGAACCATGCTAGCAAAACCAGAGGAGGACACACACCGACATTTATTAAGTGGTCATTTCTTGTAAATAATCAACAAAAAGGGATGCCAGATACTTTACAGTAATCCAGTGGGTCACGTGCTTCTCCCAGTGCAACCAGAATCTGCCCATAATTGGTACAAATAGAGTGACCCAAATTCATATGCAAGTGAATGAACTGTTTCAGACTTTCATACCCATTAAGCACACACACAGTACATTAAATCTACACAAATCTATATACATATTTGCCTTTCTTCACAATGTAAACTTGAAAACAACTCAATATCCTCATTCTGCCACTTTGAGTGGTAAGAGTACGTCTGCATGTGACAATCAGCAATTCATTCCTACTTAGATGCAGTGGCTTTAGATGCAGTGATGCTGGGGCTTCCGTCCTAGATCCTTTCCAGCCCAGCTTCCGCCCGGGGCATGGGATGGAGACAGTACTGGTCGCTCTTACTGACAACCTCTGAAGGCATCTGGATCGAGGCGGTGTGGTGGCACTGTTGTTGTTAGATCTGTCGGCTGCATTTGATATGGTCGACCACCAGTTGCTGACCCACCGCCTCGCCGACGTGGGGATTCAGGGGCTCACCTTTCAATGGCTTACCTCTTTTATCCAAGGTCAGGGACAAAGGGTGATGATAGGTGAACAGCAGTCCCAGAGACATTCTCTTGAATGTGGGGTACCTCAAGGGGCAGTGCTTTCCCCAATGTTGTTCAACATCTACATGCGCCCCCTTGCCCAGATCGCCCGGAGATATGGGCTTGGGTGTCATCAATATGCAAATGACACCCAGCTCTATCTGATGTTGGGCGGCCGGTCGGGCTCCAGCCCAGAAGATCTGCACCAGGCGTTGCAGGCCGTGGCTGGTTGGCTCTGACTGAGTCAGCTGAAGCTAAACCTGGCGAAGACAGAGGTCCTTGGCCTGAGTCAGGACGGTCCAGGGTTGGGGCTCCCTCTCCCGACCTTCGATGGGGTGCCTTTGGTGCCAGCGCCGGAGGTTAGGAGTTTGGGAGTGCTTCTGGACTCCTCACTAACCATGGAGGCCCAGGTGGCAGCCACCGCTAAGTCAGCCTTTTACCATCTTCAGCTAGCTCGGCAGTTGGTTCCCTTCCTCAGCCGTGATGACCTGGCCACAGTGATCCATGCGACGGTCACCTTGAGGTTAGACTACTGTATCACTCTCTACATGGGGCTGCCTCTGTCGCAAATCCGGAAGCTGCAGCTAGTGCAGAATGCTGCAGCCAGGCTGTTGATGGGTCTCCCTGGCCGGGACCACATCCGGCCTGTGCTGAAAGTGCTGCACTGGCTGCCAATAGCGTACCGGATTCACTTCAAAGTGCTGGTTCTTACCTTTAAAGTCCTATATGGCCAGGGCCCGGCATACCTAAGGGACCGCCTTTCCCCATATGTTCTCTTATGGGCACTACAGTCGGGGACGCAACATCTCCTGGTGATCCCAGGTCCCAAGGAGGCCAGGCTGGCTGCAGCCAGGGCCAGGGCTTTCTCGGTGGCGGCTCCTACCTGGTGGAATGAGCTCCTGGAAGAGACCCGGGCCCTGCGGGACCTTGCGCAGTTCCACAGGGCCTGTAAGATGGAGCTCTTCCGCCGAGCTTTTGAGTAGGAGCCGCCACTATCTTACCATCATTACCAACTGGCCCTGGGAGGAGAGAACGACAGCGCGCGTGGAACTGACATCACCAATTTGGGAGTATCATCTTCAAGACGCCATATTTTTACTGAAGTTTGTTCCAAAACATCTAGAGCACTTATAATGTTGTAATATTGTACTGATTGTTTTATGCAATTTTATGTATTGGCTTACGCCCCATTTGTGAGCTGCCCTGAGCCCGCTTGCAGGGAGGGCGGGCTATAAATTAAAATAAATAAATAAATAAATAAATCTGGAAAGCTATAGCTCCAAACCCAATCCAGTTCTTGGCAAGCAGTTGCACCATATACCTGCTTGTCAGGCAACCCCGTGCCCTATTCTTCATTTTTACATGAAAGTCATTTTCTACCCATTCCCACCACCAGCACCCCATACATAAGTGGTGCAAACACCTATGCATGGCACTGGAGGGCACCAGTAATGTGTCTGAGACTCAGCTGTTTCATTCTATGAACCACCTACTCCCTTGGCTCATACTTACACACATCAGTTCTCCAACAGTGAACTGTAGGAATGGAGTACTGTACTAACTGTTTCTCTGTTGCTGCTGCACCATGAAATCAGTAGCTGATGTTGGCAGACTTAGCTGAGAACAACTAGAAAGCCCTGCAGCATGAAGTCATACAGATGGAAGGACAGTTGCCATGACTCCTACCAAGTTCAATAGCTTCCCAACTATAATCTTATTACCTGT